ATAAAATTTGAAACTTAAAAAATGATATTGGTCTGCGGATATGTGAATACTTATATTTAGAGCGAAATGGACGGGTTAGATTATTTGTTATAATGTACATTATTTTAAGAGCTTGAAATCAATTTTTTATCTCACAACCATAATGTTCAAGCCGAGATGATCAATGTAAATGTTTTCCAATACTTGAATTGTAATTTTCAATGAGTTATGGGGTGAGGCTTTACTTATTTTGATAGAGCTGTAGCCTTATCAAACCATTTTCTTTTTTTAATCTATTGTTAGCAATCATGATATTATCCATTCCGAGATTTTCAAAGTAGGATTAAAAATGATTGCAATTTATGAAGTAATTCATCTCTTTGTTTCATTTGATCAAATTTTATTTGCATTAGTGAATATGACTTTATTATTCAATTTTAGTAATTCATCTCTTTGTTTCATTTGATCAAATTTTATTTTCATTAGTGAATATGACTTTATTATTCAATATCTAAGGTTGCATTTTAATATTAACTTGCATATCTGTAAAACCGGAGATCGACTTGGACGAGCATTAATTTACACAATCAGTTCCACTGCCTCTAGGTGGTTATGTTATTTTTTCAAGGGTGAGGTTTTTATAAGGTGTCCACCTTATACTATTGAAGTACGATATACCTCAAAACTATGCTGAAATTGCAGTTTTGGTGCTACAAAGCTTTGAGATGATATGAAAATTTATTTTTGCCCCTAATTATGGATTTTAAAGTTCCCCATTAAGGAGATCCATATACACTTGAAAATTGACGGTGTAGATAATGTGTTAGAAGATGAACTATTTTTAGAACTATAAATCTTTCTTTTTTTTTTCATGTCTATGAAGCTCAATGTCGAGATGATCGATTTGATAATTTTCCAGCATAGGAACATCCTTCTCTAGTGGGTTTTTTAGGTGCACTTTACTCTCGTACAGTATAAAGTTGACACTTTATATAAATGTTTTCATTGTGTTTTTTTTAATTGTAGTTTAGTTTTTTAAAATTATAAACTTCAAATATGGCAAAAGTACGAGACCGGCATAGATGGTCTGGTTGGCAGTGCCACAACGTAATCCAAAAAGTTCCATTCCTACCTCATTAATATGTCAAAAGAAAACTTAAGAGATAAAAACGCACGTGGTCTTTCCACGGTGGGTCGACTTAGACCAAACAACTGACCAAGTCTGAGTCTGGGTTTGGTCCAGGTCTAGAGAGCTATGCCTCTATCTTATATTAGAATTATTAAATTATTTTGGGGATTTAAAACTAGAAGAATGAAAAACAAAAGAGACTTAAGCAACACATTTTCTTTATATGACATTTTTCAATTGAGCATTGGAAAATCAATACGTATCTTAAATAAATAATTAATCATTAATATCCACTCTTAACTAAACATAAACATTTTATACTTAACATCCTCTTAAAATCCCACTTAATTATTTGAATTAAAAGGTCGAACCTTATATTTCATATTTTACCCTTAACTGCTAAATTCTTTTGAGTGTACAGTGTATTTTAATTTCATATCTCTCATTAATATTTTGAGAATTTATTTAAACCTAATTAAGAACATAAATTTTATCGAAATACCTGTGAGAGATAAGCTATTTAATTATCAAATATTTATATTTAATTTAAAAATATTTATCAAGAAATAAAATGTTAATCCTCGTTTCATAAGTCAATTGGAAGCCTTTAAATCGATCAACTTGATTTGAACATTATGGTTGTGAAAAAAAAAAAATGATTTCCAACTCTAAAAATAGTGTATATTCTAACAGATTATTTAGACCGTCAACTTTTTCTTAAAAATAAGTGTTCACAGATTCATAAGTTTTGTACTAATTTTATAGCTTAAATTTTTGTTGTCGGTGTTGGAAGTTGATTTTAGAACCATGATAAAGATTTCCGTCGCTGAAAGTACTTTTTGGATGAGGATTTAATATGAGGCTTTATTTTATTTTCATAAATCTTAGGCCTTATAAAAACCACATCCTATCAAAAAATATAGGGAGTTCCACTTGAGTCGATACATAGAGAAAATAATCCAGAATAATAAAAATAAACAAAAAGAAAAGAGTTGAAAGAATATACCTCTCTCGAGATCTGAGATGGAATCCACCTCTAAAAAAACTATTTTTACAAGATCAATTTATTTAATTAACAATTACATCATCTAAACAAAAAAACAAAAAACCACAATAAATAAAACCCACCAAAATAACTCTCTTTTCTACATTTTTTCCTCCCTCCCTATTTTCTCTTTCATCTCCCTATTCTCTCTATTTCCTCACATATCTCTCTAATGTCCTAACAACTTTTAACTCCTCTTTATTTATCTCTCTTTTAAGATTTGCTTTATCTTAATTAAAATCCTCAATCTTTTTTTGGATCTTGTTAAATATCTAAGTAAATTTCTCAAATCCATCTTTATCTAAATCTCCTTTAATATCTAAGTAAATATCCCAAATCCATTAAAATAAGAGACCTAAATCACTTAGAGACCTAAATCCCTTTGCTCACCAATATTCTCAAAATAAGTCACACAAAATCGTAGTGAAACTCACGCCTCACATCCACCTTATCTAATCGCACTTCCCAGAAAACTTGAAAAAATAATTTTGAAAGTTTCCCTAACTTTTATTGCATCATTCTCGACATTGAGCTTGAAGCCAATCAAACTCTACTAATTGATAATGTAATCCCACCATGCGCCTCAACACATTTTCTTTAATTTTTTCATTAAGCCGATTCGAATGCTTGTGCTTATCTCGAGATACTTTTTTCATTAAGCTGATTCGAATGCTTGCTTGTGCTTATCTCGAGATAGAACACAACGATTTGAGACTCAATCTTGATTTATCCTTCAGACTCACTTGGTTGGATTTCGAAAACTGCATCGCACATATCTTCTTATTCATAATTGATCTTCAATTTTTTTTCTTTTTCTTCACAATTGATATTCGAAACTTATTGTACTTTTGGGTTATCGACGGCACATTTTGTATCAAAATCTATCTTTTCATATTCTTGTTCATCTAGTTTTGATTACAATATATGAAATACATATTGTAGGCATCAGTCTACTATTTGCTAATAATACTCTCTACTAGGTTTTTTTCTATTATCTCAAATCTTTGATCCAATTGCTGCAACCGTTGATTTATCTTATGAACGTCGCTTCGAACATCTTCCATAATTAGATCACGGATCTCAAGGCTCTATATAGATCTTAGGATATCTTAGGGTACAGATTGTGGGGTTCTGATACCAACTGATACAGGGAGAAAATAAAATTGGAATAATAAAAATAAATAAAAACAAATGGGCCAAGAAAATATACCATCTCTCTGTCTGAGAGGGAATCTTCCCCAAAAATAATATTTTTACAATATTATTTTCCCAATTATTAATATTTGATCATTTACAAAGGAGGGAAATCTCCCTTAGAGATCATTCTCCTTCTTTTACAATAAAAGAACAGATCCCTTATACTTTAGGGAAAAAATAAATAAATAAAAAAAACCACAATAAATAAAACCCACCAAAACAACTCTCTTCCACTTTTTTTCATCTCCTCCCTAGTTTCTCTCTCTTCATCTCCCTATTCTCTCTCTTTCTTCATGTCTCTCTAATTTCCTAACAATTTTCAACTTTCTTATTTATCTCTAATTTCCTAACAACTTTTAACTCTTCCTTATTTATCTCTCTTTTAGGCTTTATCCAACTTAAAATCCTCAATCTCTATTTGGATCTCCTTAAATATATATAAGTAAATTTCTCAAATCCATCAAAGTAGGAAACTTAAATCCCTTTGCACAATATTCCCAAAAACAAGTCATGCACGAACTCATATTGAAACTCATGCCCCCACCTTATCTAAGCACACTTCCTAAAAAAAAACTCAAAAACATAATAAACATATCATTTTGAAAATTTCTACATCATAATGTCACATGCTAGCTCTCATATCTTAATCGACGGGGCATGCATAAATTTTTATCTGCATCACAATGTCACAAGCTAGCTCTTAATCTTTTATTTTTATTCTACAAATCAATTTGAAGCAAAATCCCGGGCATGATAGATCTGACAGGGGTGCACGTCATAAAAATAAAAATAAGATATTTTAGATAATACGATTTACCAAAGTACCACTGAAAATTATATGGGTATTTTGGTTATTTATTTTAATATAAAGTAATTGGGCAAAAGCTATGATGATGATGATTTTTACTAAAAATATTTGTTTTTTTATTTTTTTGCAAGTTCGTCCAAATTTTATAATGGGACATCCAAAATTTCATAAAAAATGTCTTATAGAAAAAATAAAAATCAAAACAGTATTTAGTATGATATTGGGGTATGAACCATCGTAGCCATTCGTTTCGGATCGAACCAGTAAGAAGTGAGGTCATGTATATCATATATGTTGTTGAGTCACGTAGGTTATACGGTCATGAGTTGGACTGGCTGCTATATAATATTAATAAATATTTTAAATAAGGGAAAAGTTTATATAGAGTTGAGGTTCTAAACAATCAAATTCGAACCTACCTAAAAAATTTCACCAAAAGAGGTTTTTTTTTATGCCAAAATATCATCAAATTGATCATCTCGACATCAAGAAACATGGACATAAGAAAAAAAAATGGATTTAAAGTTTTGAAAATAGTATATTTTACAATGTATTTTTGGACCGTCAATTTTCAAAATTTTCAAATGTTCATATGTCGATCAATACTATGTTTGAAGCTTTAAACTTTATAAATAAAAATGAAAATATATTTGAAGGCTATCACAATGATTGTCAATATTAAAACTACATTTCTTGATTAGGTAGGCTATAATTCGATTGTTTAGAGCCTAGGCTCTATACAAACCTCACCCTTTAATAAATTCCCCTTAAAAGAAACCATAAAGCCAAAAGATTATAAAAGGAAGGCAGCCTACCATAAAAAAGAAGGCCGCTTACATGGCTGAGTACCTTGTGTCATGACTTCCTTTGACACTTTAGCCCAACACACGTGATCCAGCACACACGTGCATGAGAATCCAACCTCAATATTCCACTCTCTCTCTCTCCAGGGAACCCAAAAGGATTTTGGATTACAGTGAGAGATTAATATAAGGGGAAGGCTTTGTTTTAGAGAGAGATTAAGAGGAAGAGAGAAAGAGATTGCATGTGTAGGATTTTGGTTTACAGAGAGATTAAGAGGGAAGAGAAAAGGATTGGGAGCCTGCTTTAACCACCCAAGACCTGTGTTATAGAGAGAGAAGGGAGAGTAGGAAACAAGGGAGAAAATCGCTAGAGAGAGAAAGAGAGAGTCTTGCCTCCCACAATTTGCCATTGCCCCACTGGTTCATGGTTATTAACAATGGATACTCTTTATTGAAAACCCACAAATTTCTGCAAAATTTACACATATTCTTCCACGTGGTTAGCCCATGTCAGCACCATTTTCTCTCTTTTTCATTTTCTTCACAGTACATAGACGTAAATAAAGTCTCTCTCTCTACCCCTCCATTGAGGAGGCCAGAGGTTGAGGTGGGTCTTAATGTTATGCTCTGTAGAAGTCATGGCGGCTAAGAAAATGTCAGAGTCTTTTTCTAGGGCATTGATTGAAGAAGTGCAGAGATGGAGCGAAATGAAGCAAACAGGGGTGAGTTTGAAGTATATGATGGACTTTGGGTCTAGACCAACACAGAGAAACTTGCTTATTGCTGCTCAGTTTCTTCACAAGGAGCTTGCCATAAGAATTGCTCACAGAGCTCAAGAATTGGAGAACCTTCCTTATGGTTTATCTGAGAAACCAGCGATTTTGAAGGTGAGTTTTTTCGAAGCTTTTCTGTTTTGCTATAAGCTCTGGATGTGATATTTGCTGCGTGATTGCAGAATTCGGGTTTTGTTTACAGGTTTTATGTTCCTTTTTGGGGGATTCTTTTGGGTTCCTCTTTTATGGGTTTCATGGGTTATTCATTTTTGTGTTTATCCTGAGTTTCTTCAATCATTTATTTCTGGATCTTCATGAATATTGAGAATTGTTTATTTATGGGCCTTTTCTGAGATCCTTTGACTCAGTGCGCTTAGTTTTTGTGTTCTTTGTTTATCACTTGGAGGCCTCTTGGTTTAGTACTTTTTTAATGGATTCCTTTCATTCTTTATCCACTCTACTTTGCAAGTCATACTTTTTATAATGGTAGGTTATTGTGTCTTTTCAGTTCGAGCTTTCTAAAATATTATTCTTTCACCAGCGAATCATTGTTAATTTTGCCTGGTTTCTAGTACTGGTTCCTGGGGTCCTTGTTTATGGGTGTTTGGGGTCATTGATATCACCATTGCAGGTTTTTTAGTGGGTCATTTATTTTGATGTGTTTTATATGCAATTGTTTTTATTTGCATATTCAATTATTTCTTCTAGGTCCATTCTATTTCCTTTAACTTTCTATTTCGAATTTGATTTGTTTTCCTGTTTTTGTTGTTTTAGTGGTTTGAACTTTGAACTTGTCTGCTTTCTCTCTAAAGTGGTCTTTTGTTTGGTTAGGTTCGGGATTGGTACTTGGATTCATTTCGTGATCTTCGAATGTTTTCTGAGATTAAAGATTCAGAAGATGAAATTGCTTTCACTCAAATGATAAACAGAATCAAAGTGAGGCACAATAATGTTGTCCCTGCAATGGCTTTGGGGGTTCAGCAGTTGAAGCAAGACCTAGGCCGGAAGATTGTTCCCGGGGATCTACCTGAAATTCATCAGTTTCTCGACCGTTTTTACATGTCGAGAATTGGGATTCGCATGCTCATAGGTTCAGTTACACAATTTTTATTATCACTGTTCCAGTTCTATTGGTTGATTTATTTTTTCTGCTTAATTGCAAGATATTCTATGCTTGTTCAAAATTTTACTACTGTTCCAGTTCTATTGGTTGATTTATTTTTACTGCTTGATTGCAAGATATTATATGCTTGTTCAAAATTTTACTACTGTTCTGAATACACTGATCCTAGTGAATATTTGAGTTCATGTTTCTAAGAGTTGCTTGTTAGTGTTCATTGATTGGATCTCTAAAGATATATTGGTAGTGAAGGCATGTAAACAGTTCTGAATTAATGGTTAAAGGGGACCAAGGCAAACATGTCCTAGAAAATGACTAAAATAATAGAAGGCCTATAATCAACTCCAAACTAATGCCTCTCATTCTTATAGAAATCATCAGGATGAATGATATGTACAATAGAGTTTTTTTTTTTCCTTATGTTTTGTGACGCTTCGAAATAGTGATCGATGGTTAAGATTTTTTCACCAAGAAATATCATTTTGAATCGTCTGATTTTGTTGTACGACCTGTTTTGTTTGGTCTTGACTTTGAAGGCCTTGGGTGGAATTTTAGTTGTGGATATATTCCTTTTTTAGTTTTGAGTTTATTTCTATTTTGGAGGTTTGCAGGGGAAAGTTTGTCATGAAGAGTCCCATATGTTGGCTGCCACAGACACAGAATTTTACTTCATTAAAAAAGAAATTAATAATTTAAATTTTATAGGAAGGTATTTTAATAAAAATAATCAATACAAAAGTCATTGTAAAAGAGAATGTAAAATATTTTCTCTTTTTTTTTTTTCTTATAGTTAAAAGTGATTATAGATTTTCATGGGAATTACAATTTGATAACTATGACTGATTGAGAACTTTTCTCTTGGTGAAAAACAGGGCAACATGTGGGTCTACATGATCCCAATCGTGAACCTGGACGTGTAGGTCAGATAGATACTCGCATGTCTCCATTGAAAGTAGCTCGAAATGCCATTGATGATGCTCGTGTTATCTGTATGCGTGAATATGGGAGTGCGCCAGAAGTTGAGGTTTTCGGGGATCCTGATTTTACATTCCCGTATGTGTTTCCTTGTATATGTACATTTTTTCTTTCCTCTTTTGATGTGTTACATAACTTATCTCTTTACTTTCATAACAGCATCCTCAAATTTAAAGATTTATTTTGTTCCCGGTTAATTTTAAACTTTGCTAGATGGGACAACTTAAAGGCTGATGGACAGAATGCCATAGGAATTTATTTCTGGTGGTCAGTAATTTGGGACCTGAAACCTTGACCATTGGGCCTTTGGCTGTCGCGCACTAACAGCTATGTCAGGAGAAATTTCTGGTGGTCAGTAATTTGGGACCTGAAACCTTGACCATTGGGCCTTTGGCTGTCGTGCACTAACGGCTATGTCAGGAGACTGAAATGTGTCCCATTGATTAGCTAGCTCCTATTTGGAAGGATGCTATTTTTAACCGCTGCAGTTTCTATTCCTGCTAATAGTTTAGCACAATCTTTGTTGCTACTGTGAGGTCCTGAAGCACAAGGAGACTTTACTCGTTGGTGTCAATTAGTTGTCTGTGGACTTCTGTTGCTCTCCATGGTGCTCTTATATTTTTTAAAGTAAAGTATATATGCATGTCTTATGTGTATGTATTGGTTATGCTCTTACATTATTGGTTGATCATGCCATTGAGGTTTTCTTTTCTCCTTTTTGGTTTTTTTGGAATTGGACATGCTGGGTTCTAGATGATTGATATTCTTATTATTCTTACATACTGAATAATTATAATATATTTGTGCTTTAGTTTGTTCGTTTCAAGTAACATTTTAATATTTGGTGTTTCACATGTTCTTGTGTCAGGTATGTCCCATCACATTTGCATCTCATGGTGTTTGAATTAGTTAAGAATTCTTTACGAGCAGTTGAAGAGCGTTTTATGAATTCAGATAAAGTTGCACCTCCAATTAGAATCATAGTTGCGGATGGAATTGAAGACGTTACAATAAAGGTACTCCTTGAATTTCAATTATGTAGTTTTTTATATGTGTGAAGTCCATAATCCATATCATCTTTAGGCGATGGCTTTTATATTCTATAAACAGTTTTGTTTCATAATTACTATTTCGGGGTTGAAACTTCTTTTCAGACTAGTTTAGGAAGTTTCACCAATTTCCATATGTATGATTTTTATTGGATTAGGTAGAATCGACTAATCATGAATAAAATAAAATTGATCACGAGTCTAATATTTTCGTTGAGTAACTTGAGTTTATAAATATGGTCACACTTCTTATCAATCTATGGAAAGATAATGATCTTACTTTAATTACAAAAGAAAATGTTGTCAAACTTGATTCCTTCTGGCTCCGTACATGAGATTACTTTAGATAAGTTTGTATACCTTTTGATCTTTTTAAACCTTAGGTCTCTATTCTCGTAGATAACAAACCTCCAGTTACACCACCATTAGATTCTTACTCGATTTCGTTACATAATAGTCAGTCATTGTGTTTTTGTTTTTACTGGAGTTTTGTATGGAAGGATATTAGCTTTTGTCATTGAGAATGAGGTCAGATGGTAGTTTTTGTTCGCTTTCTGGTGTTTGGAGACTTTGATCATTCATTTTGCCTGGCATCAGGGCTCTGGTTTATAATCCTAATTTAAGATAATGGGATTGTTATTTTTAGGAAATTTGGGTGATTGTACTGTTCTTCATCCTTCAGGGGGAATTCCTGGTTGACATAATGGATAATTTGTTCCAAGTTTTCCAAAATTTGAAACTCTTTTAAAGTGTTTTCTTTCCTTTTATGAATTTGAATCCTCCAAATAGCTCGTTCGAATATCTTGAGCTTGACCATTTGGATTTTTTTTTTGAAGCTTGAAAATAATGATCCACTAACATTAGTGCTAAGAGAATGGAACCCAGGGAGGTCAAGCCTCATCAAATATGAAAATACATGCCCCATCCCATAGGCCTGGTATCTAAGATTACCGCCCAATTGTCCAAAATGGCTCCTAGGAACCTCTTTTAAGAGTCTCTCAGTTGGAACTCTCCCAGTCCTCACTAACTGAAAACGTGTTGAGACTTGTCATAATCTGGTTTTCTTCATTATTTTATGCAGTGGAGCACAGGATACATGGGGAAAGTTAGCCATGCTATTCCTTTCAATGACTATGGAAATACCACTCATTGGTGCATGTTACCATACTGCCACCAACTTTTCATAAGTGATGGTGGCAAAATCCCGGCTATTACTACACAACCATTTTCAATGGCCTACAATATCTTCCAACTCTCTCCACAATTATCCTTTCTAGCTTGGATTTATTAGAATGACAGACAGCATCGAGGAGCAAAGTTGCATTGTTTTCAACTATTTTCATTTCAATGATTACCCAACACCACCTATATGTCTAATGTTTGCCTAGAAATTCCACATAATCCAAACTACCCCAATGATCATTGTGGCATCTAAACCTTGTGACTGATCTTTGCCTTATATCTATTGCTTTTGATAGGGCTGAGGTGATTATATTTGGTTTTCTCAGGACAATCAAAATATCCACCCTTTGATAGCTTGGAACTCTTGATTTTTCCAAATTCCTATTTAAATCTCGACACGTTAGTTTCTTGTGCTACTTGCCTTCTACCCTTGAACTGCCAACCTTCACTCCTCTATGGATTCATGGCCCTCAGTCAACTTCTATAGCGGATTTAGCCTAGTTGTCAATTTCCTGGATCTTCCCTTTTTATAAAGCCTCCCTAGTATCGACGAACTCATTCTTTTTCTTTTAGATGTTTCTCTAGTTCTTGCTGGTTTCGTTATCCATGCTAATTCATCATATCTCATATTTCAGAGACATATTTTATTATTTATTTTTTATATTTACTGTTTAAGAAAGATACATTCAGGAACTTTCATGACACCTGCTGCCCGAGTTACTGCTGACTTCACACCCAATGTTTCTATTGTATTTTTCTGGACTGTCCTCAAGCAAGGTCCAGAAAAATGTTTCGTGGTTTATGTTGGTTTATTTTGAGCACTGTTGGTTTTCTCAGACAGCCAAATAAATTACAAGCAGCAGTATCTTGCTGCTGCATTTTGTTTATTACTTTTCTAGTAACTAGATTGACACCAAAAAAGACATGGTATTCTTTATAAAACTGCTGGGTGACAGGCATCTAACCCAAGTGGCATCTGTGTATCTCAAAATTGAAGTCATAAAAAGGGTAGGATGTGAATTCTGGGGGTACAGACACTCTTTTCTCAAGTTCACGGAGAAATTAGGGAGAGAAATGGGATTCTGATTTTCTCTCCAATTTGATTTGTTTCTTGTGTGATTCTTTCTTTCGATTGTTAGCATTTTTGCAGATGAAGACTATAGGATGGATCGAAAATGAAATGTTTGAGCTTGAAATATTACTGAGAATATTAGGCTTGGTTCAGATTTTGTTCTGTTTTTGCAAAATTTCGCATAATTTTGGGTATATTGCTTTTTTCCTATTTTAGACTCTAAAGTTCATGACAAATTTTCTAAACTTTTCTTACCCATTTCCCTGGAGGATCAAAAACTTTAAAGGTTTTGGAGTTTGGGATTGTTGCTGTTGTTCACACTGCGACTTGTTCACTTCGTTTATATCACGACCAATTATTATAGCATTCATGTGGGTTATTCGACCTTTGGAAAATCAAACGGCCTGCATTGGGTTTAGCCATTTAGGAATAATCAGTAAATCCAGTGTGGGGCGCTGAAGGTTTGATCCTTTTGTTCCAGGACGAATAGCTTCTTATCATATATATTGGAAATGTTAGCAGGTCTATTCCATCTTAGCATCCCCCAACCCCTGTTGTCTTGGATGATCCCTGTAGGTTTATGATGAGGTTCAAAATGGTAGTATTTTGCATTAGGGATTTATTGTTGGCTCATCACTTGCTACCCATTAGCTGGGTGCTTGGTTCATGCATGCCTGGCATGTTGTCAAATTGTGCAGGGTTTGGCAATGGTCTGACAAAGCTGCATTCTTTACTTGTTTAAGTATTTCTTGATGCCACCATTCAATACATGGAGCAATGCATGTGCACCAGTGAAAACAGTTGGTTTGTTTATTAAAAGTTTGTTTGTTTGTTTATTTTGATGGCTGATTCATGTGCATTTGCTCAGAGGGTGAGAGACACATAAACACTTGTGGTATACTAATGGTCATTCTTCTCTTAATTTGTTTTACTCACTTTTCCTCCATGAAATTTAGTTTTTAATGCTGGAGGGGGCCTAAAAGACCACATATTTTCTGTGAACTTTAAGTTTGTGATGGCTGTTTCCGTTCATTCTTCACAACTATATAAAGTGAAATGCTATTATCATGTTACTAGTCAATTAAGTACTGATTTGAGAGCTTCTAAGTACTCATCTGTCGAATATGAGCTTTGTCGGAATATCCACCCTAGTAGCACAACAACATTGAATAGCTTTATATTTGTTAGTTTAGTTGTAGAGTACTGGTCAACTACGTAAATGAACAGAATACATTTAGCTATCTCAAACTCAGTAATTTGTGTGATTTCCACTTGTGAATTTTAGTTTTCCTTGTGCCAAGATCTCAGATGAAGGAGGTGGAATACCTAGAAGCGGTCTTCCCAAGATATTCACATATTTATACAGCACTGCACGGTCCCCATTGGAAGAGGACATGAACACTACTAGTGGAGCGACTATGGCCGGATATGGGTACGGGCTCCCTATAAGCCGCTTGTATGCAAGATATTTTGGGGGTGACCTGCAAATCATATCGATGGAAGGATATGGTACGTAAGCCTATGCACGACACATAGCTTTCATGCAAGTGTCACAACATAGAAAAGTCATAAAGAATTCAATACATGCACTGAAGTTATTGACTGCGTTCGTTGCATCACGTGTGTGGGTGTGTTTAATACTACATTCTGGTATTGTTTTTGCATTACCATATGAGTGATATGCGTAACATGTGCATGAATCGTCATAATGCATTCATGCTTGCACACATGTATCTGCTGATATGTGCCATCAATCCAATACATAAATTCTGATTTGGAATCTCTAATGCAGGTACTGATGCATACCTACATTTGTCCAGACTTGGGGATTCTCAAGAGCCTCTCCCTGATTAGGTTGCAGACACTAGGTTTCTCGTCCGCGCACAACTCTTGGACGAAAGGTAATTAGTCAGATGAAACACTGTTAACTGATTGCTTATTGATAAATAACTCCCCCCGAAAATGTAAGATTCTTGGACAAAAATTGCTATTTGCCATGAAGAGGACTCACATTTGTATCACAAAACAAAGGTAGTTATCTTATAAGATGTTTAAGCGCTGTCTGGTGCTTCTTTGAGCGTGTTTACGTAAACAAATGGTGATATAATTGTCAGCTTCTTGTTCGGCACATGCATTCAAGTACAATTGAGCATGAGAAGAAAACATGCATTTATGCAACTTGGCTAGGGATTTGAGCAAGAGAGTGACGTTCATACGATCTTCTTCTGTCCAAAAAGTAACTTTAAAATACAAAATGTATTATGTAATAACTCCTAGGTTCCTGCCTGCTGTCAAAAGTGTCAATGTGCTGGAGGGACCAAACCGAGTTTTACAGTTAGATCTTTAAGGGCACGTTTGGTTCGCGTGAAATAGTTTTCTTGTAGGAAATTAATTTTTTAAGAAATAGATTTCTTAGATTTAGATTTAGATTTCCTATTTTTTTTCCCATATTTGGTAATACTATCTAGATTTTCTATGAAATTGGTTTCTTTCGTTTGGTAATCTATTTGAGAATTTGCCTTCTTAGAATATGGAATGTAAGCTATTTTTTTGCTAAAAATCCAATCTCTCTCTCTCTAAAACCCATTATCTCTTTAAAAACCCAATCTCTTTTTCTCTATCTAAAAACCTATATTATCTCTCTAGAAATCCAATCTTTTTTGCCTTGTTTTTAAAATCTATTATCTTTTTCTCACTAAAAATCTATTCTCTTTCTAGAAACCAAATCTCTCTTTCTCTTTCTAAAAACTCTTTCACTTTATCTTTCTAAAAACCCAATCTACCTCTAAAAAACCATTTATCTAGTCACTCGATCTCTCTAAAAATCCATTCTCTCTATAAATCCAATCTCTCTCTCTCCCTTTCTAAAATTCTATTATCTCTTTCTTTCTTTAAAACTCATTTTCTTTCTCTTTAAAAACTGATTCCACAATCTTTTTTTCTTTTTCTAAAAACCCATTCTGTCTCTCTCTCTAAAAACTTATTCTCTCTAAAAACCAAATTTTCTTTTTCTCTAAAAACCTATTTTCTGTCTAAAAGATCATTTTCACTCTTTAAAAATCTATTCTCTCTCTAAAAACTCAATCTCTATCTCTCTAAAAACCCATTCTCACTCTGGTCTATTTTCTCTGTAAAAACACATTTTCTTTAAAAACCTAATCGATCTCTAAAAACCAATTCTTTCTAGAAACCCAACCCAATCTCTCTTTCTCTCTCTACAACCCATATCTCTCTAAAAACCCAACATTTATTTCTCTTTCTAAAAACCCATCATTTCTTTCTCTCTCTGGAAACCCAAATCTCTCTTTAAAAACCCATTCTCTCGCTTTAGAAATCCAATCTCTTTTTAAAACCCACCTTATGGAAACTCTATCTCTCTCTCTCTATCTTAAATCCCATTATTTCTTTCCCTATCAAAAAATCTAATTTATCTTTCTCTTTAAAAACCCATTCTCTCTCTAGAAACCCAATCTCTATTTCTCTCTAACAATCCATTCTCTTTCTAAAAACCCAATTCCTCTTGCTTTCTCTAAAACCCATTCTCTGTCTCTAGAAACTCAAACTCTCTCTAAAAACTCGTTCTCTCTAAAAATTCACTCTCTTTAGAAATCCAATCAGTCTTTATCTATCTAAAAACCCCCCACTCTAAAAATCGAATCTCTTTCTCTCTCTATAAATCCAAACTCTCTTTCTCTCTAGAAATCCAAGCTATTTTTCTCTCTCGAAATCAATATCTTTCTCTCTAAAAGCCAATCTCTTTCTCTCTCTAAAAATCAATATTTTTCTCTCTCTAAAAACCCAATCTCACATCTCTCTCTAAACACTCATTATCTTTTTCTAGAAACCAATATTTCTCTCTAAAATCCCAGTCTCTTTTTCTCTCTCTTAAAACCCAATATCTTTTTAAACCCAATATTTTTTAAATTTTGTTAAAAAATATTTTTGGATTATTACAAATAAGAAAAATTTGAAGAGTGAAATAAAAAAAAATAAACAAAAGGGGGGGACTTCTTAATGGGCCGGGCTGGTTCTAGGCCCAATATATTCTTTTCAGGTTGGGTTGGGTTGTGCCAGGCTTTGATAGTACATATTCAAAGACGGGGTGAGATTTTGGTACACTATTTGGGCCAGGCCAAAGTATTTTCGGGCTTTGCTCAGCCTCGGGCCAGCTCCGCCCAATGGCAGCCCTACTTACACCCCTGCCCCCAAATATTTTAAAAGAAATTAGAATCATACCTACATAGGTATGAATCCAATTTCTTAGATTTTGAACACTTTCCATGGAATTTAATTTTAAAGGTAAAAGGATTTCTTACTTTTTATGATGAACCAAACATGGGAAATTAGTTATTTTAAAAAAAAAAAATTCATGATAACCAAACTTGCCCTAAATATCTTAATATACCGCTCGTACCAAGTTCAACATTTGCATCTCTTAGGACGTGTTTCGTGACTTGAAGCTGGAGGTTCCATGAAACCTGGAACTCTTAGTTCCTTGGAAGTTGAAATTACTGATATTTGGTAATTTCTGAAATAATTGTCTGATCGCTGGTCGGTCTGAAAGTTCTTGAATACTTAGATCAGGCTTTACAATTATGTAATAGAGCTTGACAGAGATAAGGATTAAGCACCTCCGAGAGAGAGAGAGAGGGAGAGCTAGGTGAGAAAAAGAGGGGGGCACATATAGAGAGCATATTTAAATAGAGAAACGGAACAGGTAGAGAGGACTTGGAGAGACAGAATAAGCACAATTAGAGGGAGGTTAGTTAGAGAGAAATTACACATTTAGAGAGAATAAAGTTAGAGAGAGAAAGGGCAGATCAAAGAGAAGACCCATCTATAGAGAAAAGAGTTAAAGAGTGAGAGCACTGCAATAAAAGATTTAGAGAAAAAGCATGGCTAGAGAGATAAAAAAGATACACAGATAGGATTATAGAGAGAGTAGTCATGTCTATAGAGAAGGCATGGTTAGAGAGAGAGAGAGAGAGCATGGTTAGATAGAGGAATTAGAGAGAGAAAAGTATTGGAGAGAAATGACACCTATAAAGAGAGGAATGGGAGAGAGAATAACATTGTTAAAGAGAGTCGGCGAAAGAGACGAAAGGAATTAGAGAGAAAAATGAGACACCTACAGAGATAGTCAACAAGACAAAAGAGATGTTCAGATTTAGAGAGAAGAAATGGCATGTGGATACAACAGGGAGAGGATCAACAAGACAAAATAGATGTTTAGAGAGAAAAAATGGCATATGGTTAAAGGGAGAGGAGTTGAGAGTTTGAATGAGAGGACACTAAACAAAACAAACTGAACTTTCACGAGGGGATGAAAGCTATGGGTTCTCTTTTGCTAGAATTTGAGAGTCCATCAGTTTAGACGGATTAAATTTAGTATAACATCCTTTATTGCTATAATTGTTATGTTTGAAATTTGGAACCTACATTTTGTTCTATCTTTTTATCGTGTCCATCGATAACTCATTAACGAGCCTTTTTTCCACGAAAATATGTGGAGGCAACATGGACATGTGATATGGTCGTCATTGCTGATATGGTTGCCATTGTAAAAGTCATAAATGTCGATGTTTTTTATCCTTGATTACAAGCCCTTTTAGACTAAACCTCCTATTTTTTATCCCAATCCTTTCCGAATTATTATCGGAAAGAGATGGCCCCTTATTCTCGATTAACGAATAATGGCTTTGCCGATTCAACTGAAAAATAAATTAACAAATAACGATAAGCTTTTTATTGCTTTACACTTGAGATACAAGAGATGCTTATATGCCGTCACAAACTTGCATCGGAATTATGTATGCCGTCAAAAACTTACATCAGAATTATGTAGGCCGTCAAAAACTTACATGAGAATTACATCAGAAGAATCAAAATAGCACCATCCTCAGAATCACATTAGAGAATCCAGAAGGCACAATCATCAAAGTAATGGAAAGCTATTTGTCGAAAGTGAATTTCCAAATGTTTACTTTTACTATACTCTTCCAATATGCCCTGTTTAAGCAGTATCTGAATAGGCTTGTAGACGAGTATTACATGGTGGTCCTTCCAATTTGCTTTGTTTATGCAGTAGTTGAATAGACTTGTAGACGAGTATTACATGATGGCCCTTGAGAGTGACCTATTTGTGTACACAAAACTATATATGGGTGAGTTTAAATGGAAAATTTCTGTCAAGGATGTATATAAAAACAAGACAGAAGTTCATTCATTTAAAGAGAGTGGTGATTTCCCTCAACTTTAGAAAAACTTTGATGCAAATCCTTATCCTGACGGCATCTGCAAAGTTGAATTCACTACATCTCGAAAATCGAATTCAATGAAATAAATTTAATGAAACCAGAAAATTTTGTGCAATGAATTTCTTAGAAGATCTTTGCTTCATCTGCAAAGTCGAATTCAGTGAAACAAGAAAATTTTGCACAATAAATTTATTAGAAGAAAAATGAGAATGAGTTTTAGGATAAGTCGATACGGAAGAAGTTTGGTTCCCCAAAGCCAAAAAAAATTATTGAAAATAGCGAGAACAAGGCTTTTAAAAAAAAAATATTGTCAAAAAAAGAAAGCTATAGTTTCTCATTTTTTAGAATCCAGTATTTCTTAAAGCTAGTTTCATGTATTACTAGTTAACAAAACAAGAAAGTGCTACAAAAGGCTAGAACTTCCAGCTTCTAAAACCAGAAGTTCTAGACTTGTTAATAAAGATGAAAGTGCTTCAGCATGCTAGAACTTTCAGCTTGTGGAAGTGAGAGCACTTCCATTCAGGAATCCAATGACTTAACACGACGCCTTTAATAATAAATTAGGAGTTTTAAGGGGTAAAAAAAAACACCTCGATGTTTTTATATGTTTTAAACAGGAAATATATATTTTAAGTTGGCAAAGGCAACAACTTTTATATGTTTTTACATATTCATTTTGATTACAACCAATTGATTAGAGTTATTTTGGTACAACCAATTAGTTAGTTTTTTACTAGAACCACATGATTAGAGCTATTTTAGTGCATAAATCGTGCTTATCATCCAAGCTCAATAAAACAATTCATTCATCACTATAAAA